GGGGGGGGGGGGGGGGACAGGACGATGGCAACAGCAGGTACAGACAGCTGAGCAACACAGGCACTTACTCCTGCTGCCTCTCAAAACCTCACTCAAATCAAAGCCTAGGGACTTTGTAAAGGCATAAGCTGCAGAATAAAGGGAACAGGAGAGAAGAATACAAATCCTGAAGCTGGAAAGCAGATGGACAGCGTGGTGGTAACCTGGGACGCAGCAGTCCCAGGAGCCGCGGCCTCATCTGCAGAGCAACCAGCAGGGAGCACCAGGCCCTGTCCAGGGTGGCTGTGGCCAGCGGTGATAGCACCAGGCCCACTAGGCCGCCGCGGGCAGGGTCTGTGTGACAGTAGGGCTAGGTGGACTGCTGCTTCCTAAAAGCCAGGATGTGCCACCCCGACCTCTTCGCCCTTCAGCTGCCCCCAAACTGGCAGCCAGTCTCTACAGGCAAGAGACTGGAAGAGAGAAGAGAGGAGGCAGAGAGGGAGAAGCCGAGGAACACATTCCCATGGTGGGAAGCCAAAAGAAAGTGTCCCAGTGAAGTGCCCGAGCTCAGCCCACGGCCAGCACGCGGGAGGGAGGGGCCCCAGCCTGCACATGGTGGCACAAAACGCCAGGTCCTGCGGACAGATGGCAGCCCTGGCAGGCAACAGACAACATCAAGGAGGGCACTGAGAAGAGTTGTGGGCAGAATGGGTCTTGGAGTTCACAACAGGGGGCACCAGAAAATGGTAAAACTGCTTGTGATTCTGAAGAACACAACTTCTGCCTACACAGTCAGCAGATACACCAGCAGAATAAAGGCATTTTCAGGTCCAAGGGTCGCCACACATTCACCTCTGTGCACCTTGTTGTTAAGAAGCTACGGAGGACATGCATCACCAGGACAAATGGATTCACCAAGAAAGGTAACAAGGGATTCCAGAGCCAGGGGATCCACTCAGGAGAGACCCAGGTCCCCCAAATGAGGGGGAAGAAATGGCCTGAGAGGAGAGCTATGCACAGCCCAGAAGCCAAGGGCTGGGGCGCGGCTCTCAATGGCCCTGAGAACAGCAGGCGTGGGCAGAGCCGGGGGCTGAATGAGAGATGCACCTGACACGTTTTAAAAATTACACCCTAGGAAAAAACAAAATCATTCTGGAATCTCCGCGAACTCTTGTGTTCACAGTCCCGGGAGCATGAGTGGGGTAGGGGGTTGGGCAGAGAGCCAAATGCTCGCCTCTCCTCGTGGGAAGCCAGAATAAAATGCCCGACCCGAAAAGGCAGGAAGCAGTAACAGGGAGGCTGCTGGGATAAACAGTGGCTGGTGCCAGCATTGGCTGAGAGAATTCAAAGTGGGGCCTCTGGTGAGGGGATGTGGGACAGGGAGCGGGGCAGCCACTGCTCCTCACAATGCACCTGTGGACCGTCAGCCTTGCAGCTGATTAAAAAAAGGAGAATTGGGGAAGAAAATGGATAATATTTGCCGAGCAGCTGGGGTCAGGAAGACAGTGAGCAAGTCAGGGTCACCTGTGGGGGGGGGGTCACTCACCTGTGCCAACTGCGCAGGGCTGTAGAAGGGCACAGCTGCCCCGGGGGCCCCCCCTGCAGGGGGGTGGCTGCCAGGAGCCTGGGAAGCACAGAGAAGTCCTCTCAGCGAGGCACACTGCATGGCACTTAGCGTTTCAATGGCAGATACAGACACTATTTCTAAGTAGGGGTTTATAATACTCAATAAGCCACAGAAGCAGGTCAAAGAAACTTCTTGCAACACTGGATTAATTATTAATGGTTCATAGAAAAACAGTAAAAATCAAAGCAGCATGCAGAGTGAATGGCTTCAGATGCCAGAGCATGCACAGGTAAGGAGCGCACGGCACTAGGACACCACATGAGTGCAGCCCAAGCAGTTAGCGGGGCCTTTTTGATTTCTTCAGACCTAAAGTATCGGCTACAAAACCCAGTGTTCTAGTGTGCAGGGAGAATGTGCTATGAAGCCTTTCTGCTGAGCCCAGTGGACCACGCTTGGTCCCGTGACACACACAGAAGATGGAGCGTTCCTTTACGGCCCACCCGACTGGCTGCAGCAGGATGGCTGCCACTGCCGCCCTCACTGGCCTCAAAAAAGCCTCCTCAGGCTTCACCAGAAAGAGAAAATCTTCCTTCAGAGGGAGTGTCCCGACCCAGGAACACTCAAATGGTGAGGCTATGCCCAGGCCCATCATTTGAAAAGCCAATTCACAAAGAGCAAAATTACAAAGTTATTCATTTACCATGAACCTCTTGGGGTCAATTCAATATGTTTCTGGGTATTCAACAACAGAAACCCTTTAAGGCCTTTTAAAGAAAGGAACACTGCATCCGTGGGGGTGTGATGGCTGAGTGACAGGGGTGACGTCAGTCGCACAGTGCCCGTGGTACACCCGCGACAGCACTCTCCAAGGAAAGACAAAGGCGGCGCGCTTCAGCCGCAGGTACCTGATTAAAGTGATGGCTTACTTCACGTGACAACGAACTCATTGAACTACAGCGCGAAAGCTACAAAACAGCAAGAACACACACGAGACACAGATAAAAATCAACACGCATGTCACTGCTCTCAGCTGTCAGCTTTAACTTCAAACAGCTCTACGATGCCGTTAAAATTCATGTAATTCAAATGGGAAAAAAAGCCAGAGTCAGCTTTAAAGTCCTACTCTAACGAAAGGTTTTTATTAAGAAACAGCCATTAGCTGGGGGATCTGTCCAGCCCTCAGCCTAAGCCAGATTCACCCAGGACACCTTGAAATTCAAGACCGTTCCGTGCTGTGCTGGGGGGAGAGGCTCTGGACCGATGAGGGTTAGGGTGAGGGTTAGGGTTAGGGTTAGCCCCTCACACGCTGTCTGGGCTCCCAAGCGCTGTTGCTAAAACAAGTGTGATTTTCCATAGGAATACAACACTTCTGTTTTGATTTCGAAACTGCCTTTTCCTGTTCAATCGCACACACTTTTAAAGGAAGAAGCCACGTGCATGATAGGAACGGGCTTACTAGGCCCAGACTTGGGGAGGACATCACATGCAGCCGCTCCTTACCTCTCCTCCCTGGGAGCCTTCTGGTTTGGAGGGTGGGAGTTCAGAACCAGGAGGCAACACTGGAGAATTTAAAACCTGCTGAGAAAAATAAGAAGTGGGGCAACTACCAAATCCTAGGAAATTTAAAAATCTTTCTCAAAATGCAGAAAAATATTGAACTTCTCCTCTGGCCCCAGTTACAAACTGACCTCTTCCACGTAAATGCTCCTTGGTGAGAAATCATGAAAAGAAAGTGTTTCCCAGGTGAAATCCAAACCCCAGCAGGTCCTTACTCAACAACTTCCACATGCCCAGCACGGTTCTCAAGGCTATACTGAAGCCCCACAGCAGCCTTATGACTTGGTACTAGTGTTATCCCCATTTTACAGAGGAGAAAACTGAGGCTTAGAGAAGTGACTGCCCCGCACTTTAAGTAGCTAATGAATGGGGAACCAGGATTAAACCCAGGATTAAATACATGCTCCGAGCTGTTCTATTTCACATGCGAGTTCGTCTGTTTTTTTTTTTAGGTAAAAACATACTTCAAATTTATTACTGGAAGGTCGTTTTTTTTTTTTTAATTTAGAGTAATTTTATTTTTTCCATTTTTTTTTCCTTTTTTTGTTCTTTTTCCAATTTTTTTTAACTGTGGTAAAATACACATAACAAAACTTACCATCTCTACCATGTTTAACTGCACAGCTCAGTGGCATTAAGTGAACTCACTGTTGTGCAGCTGCCACCACCGTCCATCTCCAGAACTTTTTCATCTTCCCAAACTGAAACTGTGTCCCCATGAAACACCAGCTCCACATTCCCATCCTCCGCCCCTGGCAGCCTCTACTCCCTGTCTCTATCACACGCAAGTTTTAAACACTTGAGACGGAATATTCTGTGCACACACTGGATACTGACTGGCAGGTTGAGCGTCGGGCAGGCACACTCTCACCGGGTGCATCCCCAGCCGCCCCCCTTTCCCGTTGTGCTCTGCTCACCTTGGGTTCCAGGGCGGGCTCTGGGTTGGCATGACCCCCAGCTGGTGCCTGCCCTTCCCTGCCAGCCCCGTCTGCAAACTGTAGCTCTTCTGCCTCTGTGAATGAGAGAGCTTATGAGGCCATCATTCCACTCAAAACACCTCTGGGGTTTCATTTAAAACAACTGAGAGGAAGAGTCTGTGTTGTACACTTGCGGGAGGAAAGGATGATGAGTCGTAGGAGTGCAGACAAACCTTGGGTCTTTGCACACTGGCCAGGCCAGAGGCTCACGGAAAAAGGCCAAAGGTCAGGAAGCTAGAGGGCTAACCAGAGGTGCCCCCTCCCGGTCTGCCTACCTGGGTTCGGTATGAACAAGTTAGAAGGAATTGGGAGCTGGGCCAGTGGAGCAAAAAAATCTGCAGGAGCAAGAGCCGGTTCACTCCGCTGGGTCCCACTTGGATTTAAGATGTCAACGTAGCGAGCTCTGGTTCCAGCTACAAAGGGGGAGGGAAGCAAGTTCAGGCCAATGACCTCCAGCTTCCACACAGCTGTATTCACTGTGGCAGAAGAAACGCAAACCTGCATGCCCCACAGGGCCCACCGTGAGGAGGGCACCTCTCTCTGGAGCACACTCATTTGGACTTCTGCCCCTGGGGGAAGGCTCCCATCTTTTGCCATAATGTTGCCGGTGCTGCTTTTCTGATTGATCGGACACTTCTGTGCCTGCGGGTCATCCGTATAGACGGTCTAGGACTGAGGAATGTCTTAATACTCTAGAGAACTGGAACCTTCCCCGCAAGGATTCATCTTCACAAAACTAACATTATCTTCTGTAATGTGACAAACTACCACCCAACACATGATACAACAGCTAAACTCTGGGGGATCTGTGGGACATATATATTACTCACACAAACTGATTTCTCGTGTGACTTTCTTACCTGCTTTTCTAGAAAACATGTTCACGGAGGATCTGGGAGGCCCCGTAGGGCCGGGGGGAGCAGCTTGCGGGGCCTTGGGAAGCGACATTGGAGGTGGGGGTGGTGCCTTCTTCTGCAGAGGGAGAAGCAGATTCAGAGACCACTCGGCAGCCCTGGAGCCCCCAGGGGCTTCCCGCAGCTCAGACTCCACAGCAGGAGTGCCCAGATGCCCAAGCAAGGCTCCCCCCACTCTCAGCAGGTGCCTGATGTGACAACTCACCTCCTCTTCCGGCTCATTTAGATTCACCCACTGGTTCTTCTTCTCATCCCAAACAATCTGCCAAGGTTTTAAAAGGCAAAGAAAAAACGTCAGCAGACTGAAGCTAAACAGCATTAGAATCTGATTAATGATAACACTTTAAAACTTCAAAACACACCTATTCAGGTCTGTTCTGAATCTGAAATACACCGTACAAACAACCAGAGACACACACACATGAAAACGCCACCGCGCCACTCTTCCCAACACTCACCGACTTGTCCTTGTCATCTGGCAGGTAGGCTTCCGTCCTCCTTTTCCCAGACAGCCAACGAGAGAACCACGATTCACTCTACATATAAAAACCATGAGAACAACCTTGAGGACATTATGCTCAAAGAAATAATCCAGACACAGACAGACAGACACTGTTTGGTCCCCTTCTATGAAGTCCCGAGAGCAGCCAGATCGAGACAGGAAGTGGAGTGGGGGGCACAGGGACTGAGGAGCTGGTGTTTCGTGGGGACAGAGTTTCAGTTTAAGCAGATGAAAGAGCTCTGTGGGTGGAGGCAGTGATGGCTGTGCAACACTGTAAATGTGCTTAATGCTGCTGAACTGTGCACTTAAGAGATGGTAAAGATGGTAAATTTTATATTTATGTTTTTACTGTAATTTTTTAAAAAATGAGAACAATAATATGCCATTAGGAGCTTTTTATGTCATAATACCAACAAATGAGGCCTCTGACACCCTCCCCAATGGGAGGAGTGAAGCAGGGCGGGGAGGTCTGCCTGGGCCCCTCACGACAGTCTCTCTGTGTGTCTCCCTTCTGGGAGGATTCAGGTAGCAGAAAATTTGCTTTATTCATCACACGCTGTCCTTCATTTCTACCAAAAAAAAGGGGAGAGCCGCAGCCGTCCTCCCCATACTCTTGGGTCCTGCCTCTCTGGCTTCCACTGAGGAGCCGTCCAGTGCTTGGGGAGGTCTGCCGCGCTGCCTTGGACCTGTCTGAGTGTCAGGTGTCACCTCACAACTACACACATCTCAATGAAATTTGTGTTTATTTGCAAGACACAAGCCATAAAAGGAAAAACTGATAAGCTGGACTCTATTAAAATGAAGGACTATGTTCCTCACCAGATGCCATCACAAAGGCAGTCTGCAGCCAGGGAAGACATTCAAGGTCCACATAGCTAACGAGACGTGCGTCCACAGTACAGAAAGGACGGCTGTACCTCATCAGACAACCCAACTAAAAAATGAACGAGCCTTGAACAAGCCCCGCACGCAAGAGCAGAGATGGTAGCGCACATACTAGAAGGGGCTCAGCATCGTGGCTCATCAGGGAAATGCACAGCAAGCCTCATGAAGTGGCACCGACCCCCGCAGAACGGCTACAGTGCCAAGGACCAGCAGTGCCCAGTGCCAGTGAAGATGAGAAATAACCAGAGCGTGAGGCTCCGCTGCACGTGTAACTCGGTGTACCCATTTAGGAGCACTGTTTAGCAGCACGACATAAAGCACTCCCAAGCACATGCCCAAGAGAAACGAGTATATGCACCCACCAAAAGACAGATGAGAATGCTCATGCGACATTGTGAGAAAGGGTAAACAGAGCCATGACACACACGTGTATTACTGTACGACAATAAGGAGGAATGGACGACCATCTGCAGCCACCCTATGGGAGTCTGAGGCGTCCACACTGACCTGGGAGCTGCACACACATGTACAAACATGTGAACGCTCATCAACCTGTGGTACGCTTTACATACTAGACTATGTATATCGCACCTCAAAAAAACGATCAGACCTTGCTAACGCCTTCTCTTCACCTCCCCCACGAGAACACAGCCTGGGGCTGAGCCTTCTGCCCGGAGCACCCGCAGTGCCCACCCACCACGTGGAGCCGGCCCAGGCCGCGCCTTACCTTCTTTGCCTCTTGCTTGACTGCTACTGTGGGGCTCTTCGTTTCAGGAGCGGGTGGCAGAGACGGAGGAGGCTGCATCAAACCCGGGTCAGCACAATCCCACCCTGGGGGGCTCTCAGAGTCCTGCACCATCCTCGAGGAGTCCTGTCCCAAGGCAATGCAGGCGCAGGCTCTCCCAGGGCTCCTCGTGCGACAACCAAAGGAGAGCAGGGCAGGCACCTCCCCAGGAGTGATCCCTTAAACCTCACTGATTGGTCAGATGCCCCCTGTGACCAGAGAAGAGCCGGGAGGGGCCAGTAGAAGCAACCCCTGCTGTGGGGGCTCTGGAGCTTCGTGCAGGGTCCGAGGAGGGAAAGACCAGCCCGTGCTTTGCAAGCAACACTGCCAGAGCGTCCCAGTGCTCAGAATGTGACTGGCACGCAGCGGGTTCACTGGCTGGAAGAAATGGACTCTGTGTACACACTGAGAATGAACTTGACTAGAGCCGGGCAGTGTGCACCTTAGAAGATAAAACGGCTTTTAAAAACATTTATTCCTGCATTAAGGCACTGCTTTCAAAGCAGTTAAACCCTCATTTCTGCTTTTTCAGGGACAGACTACTTCAAATGGTAGAGCACACAATGAGAGCTCAAAGTGTTGCAACCGCCCACCGACGGGACGCCACAAAAAGCCGGGCGTCTACTAAGAAGGCTCCAGAATGCAGTTTGTGTAGAAGCATCTGCCCCTCCCAGTTGGGATCAGAGTAATCAGAGGAGGTATTCAAGACAAACATGTCTGACAAAATGAATCTCAATTTCAGAAAACCAGTGAAAATGTTATGGATTCTATTGTGGAAAAAGAGGTGCAGAAATCAGGGAAGTTCTCCATTTTAGAAAAATTAAAGTAATTTCATTATTTGGGGGAATTTCTTCTACTTAAAGTAACTGTTTTCACACCACTGAGTTCTCTTTTCCCCCGTCTTTCCTCACCAGTGTTCTCACAAACTCATGTTTCAAGGATTAAAGCTATTTCAGAAGCACTTTACGTTTGTAATCTTCATTATCTTTCTACTGACAATGGAAAAGTAAGGAGCTCAGATACCTACTCAGCCAACTTTACAGAAAACAAAAAGTTCTAGAAAACATGGGAAAGTACCAGATTTGCAAATTTTCCACCAAAATCCTCTTCGCTTAGCTCAGGAAGCAAGTTCCTAACAGGTGACCCCTGTGGCATTACTCCTGTCAATGGAAGAGAGAGTGACCGTCATCTCAGCGCTGCTGGACACGAACAGGACGCACAAGCCCAGAGGCATGCCAGCTTCTGCTGGGCCCACCATCCGGCCTCGTTTACAGAAACCGAGATTGAAAATTACACCAAACGTGTGGAAATTATTTTACTTTTTAAAGCCAGGCCTATGTTTTGCTTTGTCCAAACAGATAGGCACAGATCAGATCCACCGAATCCAAGTTCTGGACAGAAGTTCATAACCTTCACTAGGAACTCAGAAGGAATTCAGAAGGACTGCCTGGAGACTCACCTGTGTCCTGGCCCCTGTACTCCTGCCGCAGGTGTCCGTGTTCCTGGAGACCTGGTGCAGCAGGTGGTAGGCCAGGCCCTGGGTACAGAGCTGCAGGATCAGGCCCGGGGGGCTCTGGGTAGCCAAGTACAGAACCTGGGGATCCATAGACAGGACCCGGCTCCAGGGGACCTGGGGGTGGCAGCACTGGGAACGTCGGCACACTGACAAAGCTGGCCAGCTGGCTGTCGGGGAGCGTCTGCGGAGCTGCACACGACAGTGAGAGGAAGTCTACGGTTACTGGGGTTACCTCTGGTCACTTGAAGGAGCTGCCTGGTGTAAACTGAGCACACTCACTGATCACAAGTGGTTTTGCCATATTTCTTTTGGAGTCCTGATTGGGGGTGGGGGTGGAGGGACCAAGTAAGGAGACTGAATGAAAGCAAAGGAGGGCAGTCAAGCAGGGGTGGCGACAGGAGTCTGTGGACAAGGAGCGGACGTCAGACAGGGAGGATGGGCAGTATGGCAGTGGGTGGAGTCGGGAGTCGTCTGAATGCAAAAGTGGAGGGCAGTGCACGAGGCCAGGGCGGCGGGGCCTGTGGGCCGCTGTGAGGCCCTGTCCTATCCTTGGGTATGACAGGGACCCCTGGAGGGCCCAGGCTGAAGCAGGAGTGGGTGGGGAAGGCGGCGCTCGCCTGTGCAAGGGGCAGGGCACCAAGGGTGGAGCCCGCTGACGGTGCAGGCTGTGTGGACAAGACTAATGGGCAGACTAGGTGTGTGTGCAAAAGGAAGAGGTTTGGACCCCAGCTCCTGGAAGAATGAGGCGCCTTCCCTGAGACAGGACACACTGGGAGAAACAGCATGAGGGTGGGCATGTCGGGAGCCCTGGCTGGGACACGACACACTCAAAGGGCTCCTTGAGAAGCAAGTGGGAGGCCATGGAGGCAGGGGGCGGGCTGGAGATGGGAGTGCCAGCACCATCAGCCACGGATGTCTACAGCCATGAGGGCTGATGGGCTCACACAGGAGGAAGCACAAAAGGAAACAGGAGAAGAACGAAGAATCCTCGACACCACCGGGTAGGAGCAAAGTGTCTCCTCAAGTCCTCTGGCAGCAAAACAGAAACGTCCCGTGATCAGAAGCAGTTGCTGAAAAAGGGGCACAGGCTCACCTGATGGCAGTAGCCGCACACCCTGGCTCAAAATCTCAGGGCTTGGCACGGGCAGCGCCAGCAGTGGGTTGTCTGTCCCCAGAGCAACGGGCTGACCAGGTCCTGGACCGTCTGACTGCTCCACCTCAGAGCACGGCGTGCTGGGACACTGCTGGGGGAAGGCTCCATCCTGAACAAGAGCAAAGCCCCACGCTGGGGAGCGTGTCGAAGTGGCCAGAAGCCGCCCTGCTGGCTGTCTTCCCCCACCCCATCTCCAGCAGCAGGGCATAGGCCATCTGATGCCCCTTCTGGGGAATTAGAAAATTCTAACAACATGCACACTTCCAAAACTACATTGCTTAGATCAAAAGTCTTCCGTGTGAGAAGAGGGACACAAACCACCTTTTCAAATGTCTCTGTGCCAAGTCCTAAGACTAGGCTGTTCTGCCGCAGAAGCAGGCGCTATACCTTGATCTGCTTCTCCACCTGGCGCAGGTGAGTCAACCAGGAAGGCTCCACCAAGGACTCCTCTTCTGGCTTCTCTTTCAGCTGAGAATCAAAGAGCCGCAACTGAGAAGCTACCTAGAAACAATGAGAAATAAAGGCCCCCAGTAACTACCAGGCGATGGCAATGCAATGAAACGGTTTTCAAAACTATCATGCTCTGGAACAAATGTAGCTTCAATGTTAAATTGGAGATAAAGTTTTAATTAGCTACGTGTTTCTAAAGTATGCTCATGTGACATACCCAAAACAGACGAGGCAGGTGATCAGAAAGAGCCTGCAGCCTGGCATTCACTGCAGCGACCTATCAGCCTACATGCAGGGGAGTCGGGACAGGCCTTGCCTGCAACCATCATCTGATCACACAGACTTAATTAACTTCATGCATTAAACTGCTGAGCTGACCCAGGAGTGTGTTCACTCTCTGACCGGGTGGGGGCAGCAGGGTGCAAGTGAGACATGTGTGGCCTGTGTGGCAACTGCAGGGCTGGACGACACACGAACTCACTACTGTTCCCTACATTCTTACATACATCTAAAAATTCCCGTAACAATACGCTTTTTTAGGTATCACATGAGAACAGTGTAAAAGATGAAGCTACTGGGACGAGGGGACATCCTGGTGAGGCTGTGTGTGACAGAGGGCTTTCTGTGCCCATTCAGGGCACCCACACAGCTCCTGACAGCCAGGCTCACTGTGTCCACTTCAAAGTCCACTTCAAAGAAACCCAGGCTGGCAGGAGCCCAGCCAGGACTCCGCCCAGGCTGCTGGACTCCAGAAGCTTATGATCTTACCCATCAGACTAAATCACTTCAAAAGGAGAATCACCTGGAGAAGGGGTTCTTTCTCAATCTGAAGCTGTAAAATTCCTGTGCTAAGATGTAAAACACAAAATCCCTGCTCAAGAACATCTGGGCACCTTAATTCACCCCAGAAGCAGTTTCCAAGTGTCTACTGTGCTGTGTGTCCAAATCTTCATGGTACGGCCAAGTCCTGCAAACCTGATGGTCCACGTCGCCCCACAGTCAGTAAAGTGACAGGAGAGGCACTCAGAGACACACCTGAATCAGCTGACCGATCAGCACTGGGGAGCACTGGGTGGGCTGCGTCAGGATGCTCTTAGCAATCACTTCGCAGTAGTGGAAGGCCTGCGTGGCCAGCCCCATTTCAGCCAGGCGGCAAGAGTAGATGAATTTAAAAACCTAAAACAGAAACAAAGCTTGGCGTCCTGGGAACTAACATCACCCTGGGAACTGTGACTTAGTCTGGATGTTTTATCATCGTACCCTCTCTACCTGCCAATAACCATACTAGTCCCCATTCACTGAGATATTTTAAGATCAAAGTAAATAACTGAGTGTCTTAGAAACTCACTCTGCATCCCCTTCAACACCTTTAACAGCCTCTAGGCTCATAGCAAGAGCCATGGCTCAGCGAGACACTCAGAGACACCCATAAACCATACCACATTCTCCACGAACACTTTATCCCACACAGCTTGAGCGTCCCAAAAATCTGAAATCTGAAATCTGAAATGCTCCAATATCTGAAACTTTTTGAGCACTGACATGACGCTCAAACAAAATGCTCACTGGAGCACTTTGCGATTTCAAATAGGGACGCTCACCTCATGCTTCCTCCAAATATTATTAAATCCAAAAAAGTCCAAAACCCAAAACACCTCTGGTCCCAAACATTTCAGATAAGGAATGCTCAACCTGTATATATTTTATACAAACACACAAGACACAATAATGGTTCACATAACACACCCCCAAATATTAAAAATAGCTCAGGTAAAAGTACGTATGAGGGCCGGCCCGGTGGCGCACTGGATAGTGCGCCACTTGGGAAGCGCGGCGGCGCTCCCGCCCGAGGGTTCGGATCCCACATACAGACCGGTTCCCGCTCACTGGCTGAGCGAGGCGCGGGAACAACACCGAGGGTTGCAATCCCGTTGCCGGTCCCCGGTCCGGTACGGGGGCAACACTGAGGGTTGCGATCCGTTGCCGGACACGGAAAAAAAAAAGACAAAAAAAAAAAAGTACGTATGAAATCAAGTACCCAAGGTCTTTAATACTGAAAATATTAAAAACTAAAATGCAAACAAAAATTCTCAATTCGATATGGTTTAGGTTTTGAGCATTATAATCAAATATCTCCCAAGAAGATTCCCCTCCAAAAGCCATCATTTTTTTCCATAAGAATTCAAAAAACTGGGCTGGCCAATTAGCTCAGTTGGTTAGAGCACGGTGTTAAAACACCAAGGTCAAGGGTTTGGATCCCCATACCAGCCAGCTGCCAAGAAAAAAAAAAAATCAAAAAACCTAAACAACAAAAGCTTGCTAGCAAAGACCACCAATCACTCCAGAAGCGGCGAGCAGTGTCGCCCCCACTCACCAGGAAACCAGGCAAAGAGCAGGTGTGGGCCCCCAGGGACTGAGCATACTCATAGGCTTCCGTTCTCTGAATGGCTTCGTTGGTTGCAAACTTTAAAAATGGCAAACTGTTGAGGAAATGAATTATTCTAATTTGAAAAGGCAGCCACTGTTCGCATAATCAACTTGGAGAAAGTCACCCAAAAGTGTGTCCCACCATGTGACCAATAAAGACATGAGACCAGCCACTGCCGAATTAACTGAAGGTGAGGAATGTTGTTCTTTTTAAAGGAAAACACACACTACCTCCTTTACTTGGATCCTTACCTGTGATTTGATCCAATTAAGACAAGTTTTGCAGTTTTCTTTGTATAAACCCCAAATCCAACCTGGGCCATCAGGTAGCAAAAGTGTGCAGCCTCCAAGAGACCCTTTGAAGCTGCAGAGACACAACACAGGCCCCGGTGGGTGAGGGGACTCTCACAGAACTCAAAGGTGCTGATAGGACACACCCCAAACCCGCCGGACCCACACGGAGGCCACGGCTCACAGCCTCAGCCCACTTTACCGAGCGTGTCGCCCATCGTAACCATCGCCCTGGCCTCTACATCCACACTGTGGCTCAGGTTGGACAGAACCATGGCAAGGTGCGGCCTCCAGTCGCCCCACTTCTCATCTCCACAGCACTGAAGTGAGAGAAGACAAAGCAGGGCTTAGCCCTGGCAGTGTGCCCTGTCAGGGTCCCGTGCTGAGCTCAGCAAGCACACTGAGACAGCAAGAGGAAGAACCGAGCCTCCTGTCCCCTGATGACATTTGCACAAGAGCACACACCACGCTGAACACGGAGTCCACCACTGTCATCCTGAGAACCCCTGCTTACCGTGGATGCAGCAGGCATTCGCCCGGACATGAGCTGGTAAACTGTCTGCAGAGGGTCATTGATTGGAAGACTGTTGGCAAACCTGGGAAGATGTAAAGATAGAAAGATCTAACTCTGGTTCAATTAAAAAAAAAAAAAAATCTCATCTCAGCCCCTCTATTCAATTAGACTAATGTTTAACGTAGACAAAGTACACATATCTCAATATCCCTTTTATAAAAAAAAAAGCTGTAAAAAAGGAAGACTATGGAATTCACTGAGATTTTATAGAAAGTGTTAAAAATCATGTAATTAATTAAAATTTAAAAAGAAATCCCTCAGCAACAAACTCAAGCAAGAGGGTCTGGTAAGCCTACGAGTCTGCTGGACAGTGACAGCTGTCAATGATGATGCTTGCAGGGGCAGAAGGCTAATAGAAAGTGTTAAAAATCATGTAATTAATTAAAATTTAAAAAGAAATCCCTCAGCAACAAAACTCAAGCAAGAGGGTCTGGTAAGCCTACGAGTCTGCTGGACAGTGACAGCTGTCAATGATGATGCTTGCAGGGGCAGAAGGCTGACATGGCCCTGCAAGTGGACAAGGCAAGGCAGCGAGGCTCTTTACCTGGTCATGACTCGAGCATGCGTCCGGCTGTCCATCTTACTTGCAAGCAGCAGAGCGTGACCCCATAAACCATTTTTCATTGCAGACTCTAAAGCATCCTGAAAAGCATTTCAGGAGTTACATGAATTGTCAGAGGCAATGGGCCACACGGTGTCAGGCACAGACAGGCAAGGAGACAGGAGCGGCGGCAGGCTGAGACATAAGTGAGCCAAAGGCCTCAAACGCCCACATGCCATTGTTGAGATTCAAGAAAACGCAGTGTTTCAAAGTCCCTATGGTAATAGGTCTCTGTAGACGTATGTGGCCTCTTTGTCCACGTTCAGCAGGAAGAACGAGCACATTCATCACACACAGGGACAACTGAGAGGTACCATCATCCCCACATGGTGCTGTCCCTGTGAGAAATGTCACCCAGGCGTCAACTCCCCAACCCAGATGGCACAAGCCTCCCATACCCCAAGTCACCTGGGGAACAACTCAGAACTTCTGCCAGGAGGCAGCAGTACTGCGAGAGGCAGATGTTCGTGAAGGCCCACAGGTTATGATTTCCGCCAGTTGTGAAGTGTCTATATTAAAATCATATTGACCATCCACAAGCTTTCTGAGTTTGTCATGACACAGCAGTACAGAGAACTCTGGGCCTGGAGATGTCCCTGCCATGCAGAGCCATGTCACCAGTGTAGCTGGCCTCTCACCCCAGCACGACTGGGACGGGACATCTTCCCCCAACTTATCCCTCCTGTGCACACTGTCTCCCCAGGACCATTCCAGCCCTCCCCTCCCCCACGCTCATCCTCTGGCCACTAGCCCAGAGCAAGCTCAGTCTCAGCCCCTGCCACCACCCTGCACAACCAGAGTGAAGGTCCACGGTGCAACCACTTGTGCATGGCATGTCCTCCCAGCTCCAGACCCACCAGCTCAGGGGCTAAGAACTGCACCCAGCTTTATGAGAACAGGTCAGCTCCATCTTAGGCACATCTGTACCCGAGATGCAGCGTGCACAGCACCCGTGCTCAACAGTGCACTTGTGGAATGACTGAAAACTGAACACTCATGTTCTGGACACTGGTGGTGTTTGGAAGAAAACCACTATTGACACCTTCAGAAAGATGACGACACGTGGGGCCAGATACCTGTCATCGACAGTGAGACCCACAACACTGCGTAATAGCACAGGTGCTCCAGAGAGGACCATCCCTCCCTACGGCCATGTCCGGCATCCAAACCCCACATGGCAGACACCAGGGACACGTCTGGGTTCTGTGAATATAGGAACTGCTCACCTTTTTACGGCCATAAAGCAGCAGCTCTCGGAACCTCTCGGTTTCTTTCTCGAGCTTGTTAGTCGTGGCTGTTGGACTGTCAGTGAGAAACGAGAGCTGGGCCTCCCCAGATTGCTCCTCTTCCACGTGCTCCACGGCCTCATTGGTGAAGTCGATTAGGTTTGCCTCATTGGGAGACTTCCCGGGAAGCCAGACTGTTTTGTGGTCTCGTAACAAAAGCTCGGCAATGTCTGTCCCCACCACGGTCTGTAAGGCCAGGAGGGACAGAAAGGATAACAAGAGGCTTGAATATGAACAGAGTTTCCAGTAGGGAGGACAAGACAGTCTCCACAAGGGTCAGGTGAGGATCCTGAACACTTCCAGGGACATGATAGACCCACAGGCTCCAAGAAAGGCTGACAACAGCTGGGCTGAAACCTCACCTCACCCCAAACCACACATTTCTCTTCTCTCCTACTCCCCCAAACTGCTGCTGAGATGCCCTTCCTCAGGGAGCCCCTTCCCAGTAGGACCACTCACTTAGTGCACCAATCCAGCCTAGCTCCTCAGGGGGACTGAGCATTCCCAAGACTAAAGTCCAACAGAAGAAATGCTCTAAAAGTAAAAGAAACATACCCCATTCTGTCTGCATAACAGAACAATAAAATTCCAAAGAAGACTTGCAGACTCTTTGTCAATTAAATTTTCGTTCTGCAAACATTTTGTAGCTTTGTTCTGTGCAAAATTAATAACATCCACTTTATGGGTGTCATCTCTGGAAAAAGAACACACATTCAGTGAACGGCAACGGCTGGTCTACAAGGCCAAGTGCAGTAGCAGCCCCACGCAGACGCCAGGAAGCACCAACAAGGCACCTACTTGCCGAGAGGTCCCGGGAACAACCGCATCTCCTCCTGCTCGGGCGTGTGCTGCAGCAAGGTCTACAACGAGGGGGGACAGACAGCGGCTCACATGGGGCCCGAGCATGGTGAGCATGGTCTTGTCTGTGCTCCAACAGTGATTTTCAAACCTCAAACAGTGAGATCCATTTCCCCCCACAACACGTGCCACAGCAGAGGCTGGCCTGCAGGACAGGGCCCTGCCAGCCCCCCAGCAGCAGCGCCTGGCCCCCCCTACACTGGACTGGGAAGCACCTCTGGGGTTTTTTTGTTTGTGGGTTTTTCTTTTTTTCTTTCTTTTTTTTGGCGGCTGGCCAGTATGGGGATTCAAACCCCTGACCTTGGTGTTACAAGGTTGTGTTCCAACCAACTGAGCTAACCGGCCAGCCTGTGAAGTGCCTCTGGCCACGACTGAAAATCACCAACCAAACCAACGTCCCCAAAGTCAACAGATATGAACGGCAACAGAAAATGCGTACACGACAGAACCAAGTCTAACACCCAAAGCAGATGCTTCAGATGAGGACTTCTGGGAGGAAACAGGTAAGATGAAATAGAACCAAAACCCGACAAACTGAAGATGGACAGGAATAAACATTTCCAATGGTCATATGTCCAGAAACAATGGTTGATGGATTGGAGGTGACGAGTTGCAAGGCACACAGAGCATCCCACGGCAGCATTACCTCCATGCTGTGGATCTCAACCAGTGCAGGCTGGCCTTCCGAAGGCAGATTTGGAACCACTTTAATGAGCTGACCGCCGGGACCAAACCGGGCACAGACATGAGGCACCGAAAATTTTTCAGGAGAATTTGGTCTTGATGGAACTACATATAAGCAAATTGAAAAAGAAACAGTCAGCTGTCACTTTGTAATGCTTCCAAACTAGCTCAAAAGCTTAGATTTTCAATGTACTCGCATAGCTGAAATCATAGGTTAGGTTTATCATGAAAATTGACTTTCAACTGAAAGTCATAAATTGTTCAATATTCTTATTAAAAAAGTAGAATTTAAGTGTATGTCAGAAAAATGTTTAAATTGTTAACAATGAGCATTATTTTTTTCTACAAAGAAAACTTTCTGTAGTAAAGTAGCAGTGCTCGGTGCCCGCCCCGCCCAGCTCAGCTTCCGACTGTGGCTAGCACAGAGCACCCACAGCAGTGACACAGACACTCCAGACGCACTGAGAGTCAGCCTGCTGGCAGCTTACACTCTGCTTACCCTTCCATTCTGGAGGAAGCTGGAACATACCCGTGGGACAAGTCTGGGAACAGGGGTCTTTCAAGGGAATTAGAAGCTCCCGCCCATGCTGCCTACCCATGTGGAGCTGAGAAGGGAGGCTACTTAGAGTTGTGCTCTGCACACATGCTTATGGACAGGAGGAACAGTCCCCAGACTTGCAACCCATGGGATGGCCCTGAGCGTCCTGATGTGCTGACACTCAGAAGGATAGGCTGGGGCAGAGCTGTCCTTCTGCAGTGAGGGGCCAAGCCATCACAAACTCCAACCACAGAACTGAGCCCCTTGCTGGCATCCCTCTATGCTGCTGAGCACACACCTTGCTCCCCAGTAGGCCAGGCGGTGTCTGCAGTGTAGCTGTACTCTGGGAAGCCCTGGGCACTGTTGAAATGGCTGCCATAGGTGCCACAGGCATAGTCACCCTGAAAGGAGCCTGGTGGAGGCGGGGCCTCATAGGAACCGGCAGTCAAATTGTGACTTCTGTAAATCTGGCTCTAAGAAAACAAAGCAAACAGGTAGGATTAGTTCCCCGCAAACACCAGTATGACTTTAGAACAGAGAGCACGGGCGTGTGCCATACAGAACCATGCATGCCCCTTGGTTGCTGCAGCCACCAGGCCCACCTGTCGCGAGCGGGCGCTGAGGCTGCTGCGGCTGCTGCGCAGGCTCCGTGCAGAGTGCTCGCTGTGCACACTGTGCCGGTCTGCCTCCTCCCCGTAAGGGTCTCTGTGGGGCTCAGGGTCATCGTCAAAACTGCCCGTAAAGCGAGGATCGTACATCCAGGGGTCGTCACATTTCTCAGGCCTGTGGTAAGCAGGGAGAAGAAAGAGGAGTGTGGAGGGCGACTTCCGGGATGGCAGCGGCCTCTGGGGAGCAAATCGCATCCCCACAGATGCCCACTGCTCACACCCCTCCCCGCCACTCGCAGCACCTTCTTCACCCTAGAGAACGTCAGTGAAGCCGATGCCACGGGTGAGTCACAGGACACCACAGCCATGGCTCAGACTTGCACCCGTGGTTTCAGAAAATCTACTACAAGGGCATCTTGAGCGTGGGCTCTTCTCTGGGCTGCAGGTCATGACGGACAACAAGGGACAACAAGAAAAGCATGAACCCAGCCACCCAGGTGCTCCCAAAGCTACCAAAGGGCCAGTTCAAGAACTGGAGATGCTGGGAAGGTCTGGTCCATCCTTACTCTGTCAGTGACCAAAAAGACCATCAGGCAGCTGCTCACACAAATCCAAAAGCAGCTACAGCTCTTGGACCAATTCCAGACACATGAGGTCAGATTAGCAAGGGGACACCCTTGGCTGCCACCACCAACCTTCTTTTTTTTTTTTTAAAAAGATGACCAGTAAGGGGATCTTAACCCTTAGCTTGGTGTTGTCAGCACCACACTCAGCCAGTGAGCGAACCGGCCATCCCTATATGAGATCCGAACCCGTGGCCCTGGTGTTATCAGCACCACACTCTACCGAGTGAGCCACAGGCCGGCCCCCACCACCAACCTTCTTTACCCAAGAGAGTTTTACCAACCTGTCACCGTAGGCTTGGTTTTCTTTCCTATATGAATCATATTCTGCATCATACCAATATCTCCGGTCATAGGCTCGGGGATCCCTGAATCTAGAACCGTAGTGGTAACGATCCCAGCAACCTGCATCTATAAGCCAGGAATTAGTGGATTAGTACAGTAATATGCAAAAGAAAAAGCTTCTCTGGACACCACCCCAGGACTTAGGAATTCTTCAAGGACTCCTTGAAAAACCAAACTGTCCTCCTGGAAGTGGGCATGACACTGGAAAATTCTAACTGTAGATCCTGCAGGCTCCTGCTGTGTCTCGCCTGTACATATACTACCTAACAGCAACTGACTGATTTTTCTGTCAATACAAGTGTTTTTGATTGAAAAGAAACAAACAAACAAACAAACAAAAAAAACCGCTAAAAAACATCTTCATTAGGGCTGGCCCGTGGCTCACTCGGGAGAGTGCAGTGCTGATAACGCCAAGGCCACGGGTTCGGATCCCATATAGGGATGGCCGGTTTGCTCACTGGGAGAGCGTGGTGCCGACAACACCAAGCCAAGGGTTAAGATCCCCTTACCGGTCACCTTTAAAAAAAAAAAAAAAACAATCTTCATTAAATTCTTTTTCACTTACTACTTTTTAATAATTAATCCCATGACTATAAGTTTTACTATTTCTTCTCCCTAATGTGATCCAGAAGGTTTTAAGAAATAACCTCATTATTAAAAGGTTACATTAAAAAGGTACATTAGTGTGGTGCTGGTAACACCAAGGTCAC